AACTACACTTGGAAAAGCTAAATCTTGGAGGACAGCTGAGAGTAGAGCTCTGGTACTCCTGGCTCTTGATACAGCACAACGAATGGGCTGCTGGGATCAAGTCAACATCTTTTCCTGGAGGGAAATTCCAGCTTCAATTTGGATGAGATTGTGAGGTATTACAGAAAGAGTCTTCTTTAAAATCAGGAGTCCCAGCTCTGGGCTGTGGAAAAGTCAGCTTGAGAAAAATTACTTTCCTTACTTAGCTTCTGTGGCCACATTAGGTAAAATGACAGAACTGGATTATATTGTCTCTAAAATGCTTTCTCATTCCATCATCCTAAATTCTCTAACCCCAGCACATTGAATAGGGTTGGACCAACTTAGGTGGACTTCTCTAACTCTACAGGTTATTAGTTACTGTATTTTAAAGAATCAACATTAGTATCTTACATCCTTTGGGTATGTCTGCTGTAAAGCATACATGTCTTCCCTTTATATCAATTGTATACACTACAATTTAGACATTTAATTACACCCTAAAGGGGGGAAATACATTTGTACGTGGGGGGTTGATAAAAGAAAATGCTATTGTATACAGACTGAAAAACATTATACTTTATTTTTAAAATATTGTAAGAGCTGGTATAAACAAGTCATAGCTTACAGATGTGTGTAAAAGCTGCACAAACTTGTGCACATTTACTATTTGGAGGGAAAAAACTTGGTTTTAAAAATTGTTTGGACTGTATGTTCTTTTCCTTTTTAGTAGGGTGGGGAGCCAAAGGAATTGAATTACAGGGTAGGATATAAAATACCTCCTTTAAGGAAATAAATGTGTAATAGGAACTATCTAGGCAGTTCTCTCACGCATGGGAATCCCCTGGGGCTGGTGTAAATGTGTGTAAGTATGTCCTCAGTGTCACTCCAGATGTTTCTACAGGGAAAGAATCCTTTCCCCACACATCGACATTAACACTTTGCTTGTAACCTCCATGCTCAGACTTGCTCCAAGCCAAGCAGCAGCCTGAAGGGGTACCCCAGGTGAGACTGGGGTTCCACAGGCTCTTCTCATCCCTCACCCTCTACACCTGGAAGATTATGTGTGTTGCTAAATATCCTCCTAAGCTTGGAGGGAAGAATTGAGCCTGTAAATATTAACACAGGATGAGGCTCAAAAACAAAGTTTACCAGGCAGAGAAGTCAGGCCAGGACAACTTTAAATGGTAATTAAGTCTCTCTACACTTATCTTCTTGGGAGACTGTCCTTGGGCTCTAGCTGAGCAGGGCCTTCTCCGCTGTGTGGGGGGTCTGCTTGTAGTTTTGACTCCACCCCTCAGGGCAACCTGAGCTGCACATTTTTGCTGCAGCCTCTGGCTGCCAAAGCTATAAAAAGGCAGATCCTAGTTTCTGCAGTTGCCCCCAAGCCTGCTTGACATGGTTAGAAGGCTAGGAAGAATCCAGAGCTTCCACTTTTCCTCTAATATGTTCTCTCATTTCTCACCCCATGTTCCAAGGGAAAAAATGTGACCCACTCTTGTTTTCTGCCTGGCACCCCGGGACCCATTCCACAAAGGGAACACCGCCAGATGGTACCAGAGGTGTTCTCCGCAATCCACAACAAGATTGTCCCCAGGCAGGCTCCTGACACCTCTGGACTCTCCACCCCACCCACCTTCTTTGTTCACACCTCCTCACTCTGAGCAGAAAGTCACATACCAGGAGCCACAACTAAGAGTGAGTAAGTAGTGGCAACATGCTAAGGGGTTCCAAAACAGAATCCTGCCACTGCATATAATGCTTAAAACCATAAAAGCAGCAAAGGGAACAGTGAACACTATCCAGAACCAATGACAGTAATTATGGTACCAACACATATACAATAATATACACAAAGAATGAAGCACCAGGGTTAGACATCCTATGGCAGAGACTGGTCATCTCCAATATATATTTTCCTCTCCTTTAGTAATAGAAGCCCGAATTTCAGCGGGGCATATGGCCATCAGAGTACAGACTATAGTCTCCAGCCTCCCTTGCAGCTGAGTATGGCTATGTGACTAGGTTTTGATTTCTGTGGAGTCTTAAAATGAGGGGACTTGCCCTTCTTCATGCCTTCCTTTCTTGCTGCTGGCTGGAATGCAGCCATCTTGGACTATAAGGTACAAGTCACTTTTTGAAATTGGTGGAACAAGATAGGAGGAGCTAAAGTACCTGATAATCAAGGAGCTAGCCACCATGTTGACTCTGGCTGGCCTATGTTTATGTGAGAGATAAATTAACTTCTCTATTGTTTAAACCCATGTTATTTGGGATTTTCTGATATCAGAGCTCAGCTGTATTCTAACTGATACCATTTCCTTTCCCTTAAGACCTGCTATATCAATGACATCCCCATATTAATTGCATCATTTCATTGTAGAGTAACATCCATAATAATAGCTTTTAAGCCTAAAAAAGCCTATTCATCACAGATCTACTCCATGTATTCTCTAATTGCAATTTAAAAAAAAAAGAGTACAACAAAATGAAATGCACAGTACAGTATTCCTATTTATCAACAAACAGTGAAAATGTAGACATTTTTTCTTGATAAAAGGCAGATAACTTTTTCTCTAGAAAGTCTTGTTACAGCAATTTAATTTCTGTACTCTTGACCACTAGATACTGGCACTGGGTCAGATTTCTTCCCCTTGGTCTCCACTCCAAGTCCTTGGAGGAGTGGAAGGAATAATTTTGTGCTGATGAGGTCAGTTCATGTGAATGGGTAAGAAAGAATCATAACTACTGATAGCATTGATATGCATCCGTGTCATTTAGCCCTCAGAATATCCTTAATTGGCAGATTTAGAAACTGAGGCTCCCACAAGTGGCATGACTTGCTCAAGGTAATTAACTATTAACTTGAGACTTTGGATTCAAGTTTTCTGATTCATACTATATCATAATTGCCTACTTACTTGTCTGTTTCTGCACTAGACAGTAGCTTCTTATTCACTGTTGCATCCCCAGCACCTACCACAAGGCCTAACATACTAAACATCCTCAATAAATATGTGTTAAATGAATTAACAAGTCTAAAATCCCACTCTGCCATTGTCCCCTTGCTCTGCAAGGGTTCTACAAGCCAATGCTCTTAATATATTCCAGGTCACTCCCAGGCCATATGGCCTGTCAAGAGAATGTGGTCAAGGATGAGACAGAGGGGAACAGGAATGGTGAACACACCCATATGACACACTCGTGTTCTCTTCCACACTCTCCTGAGCCTGGGTGGGCCCACCACACAGGGCATTGGCTGTGTGCCTCACAGCCTGGGAGACAACTTGCACTTTGTGTACTTTTCCAGGGAAAGGGAAAGGCAACTGTGGTCTAACACGTGTTAGAAATGCTGCTGCCTGGTGTCCTGACATTATAGCATCCACCCAGTCTGATTCCTGGAGGTAGGCCCACTTGCCAAGCATGGCTGGGGAGGTAGAGGGAGAGGACATGAGAAGAGGGGTTAGGCACTGTGAAATGAAGTATGTGGCCAAGACATGCAATGTGACCAGGCATTATGACACAGTACATGGGGCAAGAGTAGAATGGGGCCTCTCAGCTTCTTATATCTGTGTGTCTCCAGACCCATTGAAGTTATCTGTGTTTAGGCCAAGAGGCAAGGATAATAGAGCTCATCACTACTTGTAAGACCTGGATTCTCTAAAGCCAACTGGATCTGAGCTGGTCCTGCCCCAAGTTCTCCCAAGGAAGAGTGAAGATGGAGCCAGCCTAGGTGTCTGCTACTTCCTTTCCTTTACTCCTCCCTCCAGTGAGGCTGCCAGAGGAAAAACGTTTTTTGGTGGGGTTTTTTTTTTTTCTTTCTTTCTGTGGCTATCTACAGAGTCAAGGGGTGAAAAAGGGCTTGAGTGAGCTATGGTCACCAATCATAAGAAATCTACAGCTAAATTATCACCTGGCATGGTGGAAATAACATTATTGTAAAATGTTGTCATGATATTAAGGTCTTCCAGTTGGAAAGCCAAAAGTTAAGCCAGTGCTGGCATTCATTTTCCAATAAATGAGCTGGCTTAAACACCAATTTTCTCTCCTTGACTTGTAAAACTGACCTAAAAATGTAACGGAGTTCAATAAATGTTTTAAAGATTGCTATTAAGTACAAATGCTTTAACAATTTAACAAAACCAGAAGAAAACAACCTTAAAATCCCACCTTCCTTGCCCTTGCCCCACCCCCAAGTCAGGATGAAAGTTCAGGGTCTCAAACAATAACGCATTTGCCTGGTACCTAGTACATAATAGACACACAAATATATTCGGTGACAAGGAATTCTATGTGCCTTATGAGTTGGCACCTCACAGAATTTTTAGAGTTTGCTGACTTGGATTAGATTCAAGAATAGTGTATTAATCCTCTGGGGGAATATTCACAGGCAAACAACTACAGGAATATGCATTTTCCTTTGTTAAAACTTGTATCTGCATTCAAATATTGGCCTTGGCATTTCCTGAGTGCTGGCTGTTTTGAATGTTATTATGTCAAACCATCTGCACTGGAAAGCAAAATCCTGTTAAGAAATATGATCGCAGGTTGTAAAGAGATTATCATGTTCCTGACCATTATACATTTTATATTTTGAAAATCCCCGTAAGAAAAGGTCATATTAAAATTCCAACTCTTTGTCAAAGCGGAGCTGAGTACTTTTATACAATTTATGACTAAGGTCAATATGAAAATTCAATTTTTTTTGTATGTGTTTCCAGTAGCTTCCCTGCTCTGGCTCACTATAATGAAACTTTTTCTCTGAATCTGAAACTGGATGACAATGGCTTCTAGTTAGACTTGATCTTTGAGAAACTCTCCTCTGCCTTCAAGGCAAAGTGCCTCTACTGCTCTTGTTGCCCACAACCAGAAAATGGTCTACGGGAGGTGGCTCTTTACATGGCTGAGGACAGATTCTGGAGAGAAAGTGCAAAGTGAAAGCTTAAGGGAGGTTTTTTTTGGGTTTAGAAAACTAGAAAGCATGAGTTTCATTCCGATTTTTAGATACTCTGGGAGGGGGAAAAATAGACAATTCTTGTACTTCCAAGGGAAAGGTAAAGGTATTGGGTCCAGTCTTTAGGTGACAAATTTGCAGGTCAAGGGTCACAGCCCAGGTACACCTGACCTCCGGAAGCTGGGCAGTTCTGAGCAGCAGGACGCGAGATGGGAGCGGGTGGGAGCCCGGGGCGCAGAGTCGGTGAGAACGACCATGTCAGTTTCCGTTGTTCTAAGAGTGTCCAGAGCAGCTTCAGAGAAAGGCAAGGGCACACAGACTCGAGCCCCAGTCCAAACACGTCCGAGGATTTTGACACTCCCTCAACCCCCCCACCCCTGTCACGCACTCTGACTCAGTGCAGGGAGGGCAGGGAGGGTGTGAGCAGTTTGCGTCCAGTTGGAAGTGGATGCAGCAGGCACACGGAATCCCTAGAATGTGGTGAAAATAGGCAGAGAATAACATAAGCCTGGGCGAGAAGAAAGTCAAGGGTAGGGAAGGGTCATAAAATTTTAAGATGAGGTGCGATGCTTCTTGTTCGGTCCCTAACAGGGGTATTTTCTGAAATCAGATCGAATCTAGTATTCGATTCTAATAATAAACAAACAAGCAAACAACTGACCACAAAAGTCACCCTTACTGCGCTCTCTGTCTCTCTGTCTCTCTCCCTCCTTCCCTCCCTCACTCCCGTCTCTCTCTCTCTTACTTCCTGACCAGACTCCTTGAAGGGAGGGGTCCCGTCTTGTTCACCTGGGGATCCTCAGCACGTCTCCAAATATTTGGGAGGTGCCTCGGTAAAGTCAGACGAACGAGAGTGAGCGAATGAACGAATGAGAGAAAGAGTGAATTGGCTACTCTAAGAAGTCGATTTCACATGCATTCTCTGATGGGAAAGAAAAGGAGGAAGAGGAAGACAGCCGAAAAGATAAATGATGCCCACCCAAGATTATCCCCAAATGTCAATTTGTCTAGGTCAGTAGCTCGCAAACTTAGCGTGCTCTGGAATCACCTGGAGGGCTTGTTCACAGTTCGCGGGGCCCACTCTCAGAGTATCCGATAGTAAATGGGGCCAAGAATCTGCATTTCTAACAAGTTCCAGACGTCGCTGATGCTATTGGACCACGCTTTAAGAACTGCCGCTCTGGGCGGTAACTCTGGACGGATCCCAGCGTCCCAGAAAAACCACCTCTGCAGTGGGAATTGAAAACTCAAGGCCCGACATTTCAAAAACAGACCGCACAGTACGGAGAGCAGAGCTGCTCAGCTCCAGCTTGTCCACAGCCGTGTAGGAATGAGAGCTCACTGGAAATCAAGATTTTCTTTTGAATTTTCCCTATTTTTAAGCATTGTCAAGTTTTTTGTTTGTTTTGTTTGTTGTTGTTGTCGTTGTTGTTTTTAGTGAAAGACTAATAAAAATGAGTTGGCAGTCTCTGCCCTAGTCTTCTCTGAGGATGAGTCTTTCGAAGGGCGAGGGCTGGGACAGTCCCACGCTGGGCAGGTGGAGCTGCCCCAGAGAGCCATCCACTGGGCTCTCCCTCCTGGGAGGCACCTAGGTCTTGTGGTCCGCTGCCTGCCTTTTGTAAACCCGATCTTCCTTGTCAGTGACACCAGCGGGCTTCGTTAGAAAAGCACCTGGAATTCGAAGCTGTCCTATGTCACGAGAGCATCGGAGTTGACCTGGCTCTCTCTGGCGAGGCAAACTGGAGACCCGTTCCACGAGCTGCACTGAAGGCGAAAACGCGGCGCGTGGGCGTGCATCCTGCGAGCCCGCGTCCACACCCTCAGGAGCCGCGCTCCCTGGAGCCGCGAGGTCCCGCCCGCGCCAAGCACGTGCCGGACCCAACGCGGGCTGCTGCGGGCTCAGAACCCGGGCTGCTGCGGGCTCAGGCCCCGGAGACCTCGCGGGAGGCTGACGGGTCGCCGGCGGCCTCGAGCTGGCTCTGAGCTTTGTTACTGCGGCGGCTGAAGACCTCTCCCGGGAAAGCCAGACTCCAACAGGGCCCGCGCTCACAAGAGGGTCGCCCCCAGGCTTGCCCACCCCGGTTATGGCCACGTAGCTAAACCCCTGTCCCGATCTTCGGCCTCCTCGGGCCAGGCCCACGTCAGGAGGTGGCTGGGCCCAGGGACAGCTGGAGGCGGCGGGTGGTCCTCAGGCCCGCCAGCCGCGGGCTGGCTCCCAAGCGATCCGCGCGCCTCGAGCCCCTTCTCTTCCCCGCTCTCAGGTCTAAGGAGAGCACCGCTCGCCAAGGAATCCTTTCCCGACAGGGCTTCAAATGCTGAGGTAGGGCGAGGGGTAAGGCGTGGAGAGTGGGGCAGGTTATCCGAATGCAGTTCCTTGAAAAACCTCTCTGCCCTTCCCGCGGGGACAATGTCCGAAGCTGATATCTGAGCACATCGGCACCGGACCGCCGAGAATTCCCTGCGCTGGGGTCAGAACTAGTGTCTTTCCCTGCCTTTCAGAAGTCAAAGCCGCTGCGAGCGGCGTTGTGAGTCCAATAATGCGTCTGCCAGGAGAGGAGTCACTAGGGGGGCCACTGCATGGAACGCTCACCAAGGCCCCAGTGGTGGGGTTAGAGTGGCTTATTGGCCCTGATGACAGGCCCAGGCCCTCTCCCCAGCATCCCTGAGGCGCACACGACTTCTCCTCCGCTGCAAACGGGCTCAGGTGGAGGTGAAAGGTTCCAGCCGCCAGAGTGGACGCCGGCGGCCTGCGCTCACACCCGCCTGCCGCGTGAGTGACGGCCCGCGGCGCCCGCGTCACGTAGTGCTTGGCCCGTGCCTCCAGGGGGCGCTGCGGCTCTTCTCGCTGGCCGCTGAGATCCCGCCCCGGCTACGTTTTCCCATCCCATCCGTGTGTAGAGCGCCGACTCGAACATACTTTTTAAAAGATAAAATTCTTAGTTTTCTGGCCCCTACCTCCGCCCCCTCAGTTATGAGCCCAGAGCCCGCGATCCTCCTCACTACTCCGGGGCTGGAGTGCACGCTCCCAGAGAATAGCTGGGCTTCCAACTCCTCCGCGCTCCGGCGAAAAGCGGCAAACAGTGCGGGAAGTTCAAATGCAAAAGGTCTCGGCCCTGCAGAGGCAGGCGAAGGCCGGGGAGAAGGGAGGCGAGTCCTCGGAGGTAATGGCAGCTGGGATCCGTGGGAAAAGATGGGGTTTTCATAATTTATGTCTTAAAGGGTAGACGTTTTTAGGTTGTCCGCAGCGCATAGTCAGAGCGGGAAGGCTCGGAGTCAGCTCCAGGGATGTCTGCCTGACACCTGCTCGCTGTTTAACTGGCAGAGCCTTCTGGGTGGGCCGTGGGGGTGGGAGGCTTGCGCTGCCAGCCCCCTCCTCCTCCAGCTCCGCTGCGTTTCCTTTCACCCGCCTTCATTCCGTCCTCAAGGGGAGTAAACTTTCGGTAGTTCGGGTTTGGGCAGCAACTGCTCGCGCTCTCCTAGTCGGTCTGTTAGCCATTTCCCTGGTGCGTCCTTGGTGTCGAAAGCTCAGAACCCCGAGGACAGCCGATGACTAAGTTGGCGGAAATGTCAGAGTGAACCGGCCGCGCAACTCTGGGAGGGTGAATGAGGCATGAGAAGGCTGCGCAGAGACGCAGGCCCCGGGCTTAGGATCTTCTCTCCCCGCACATCCAAACCCCACAACTCGCCGGGGCCCTATGGCTTATTCTCCGTGCCGGGCGTTGTAGCCCAGGGAGTCCAGCGGCCGAGGATGCTCCTGGCTAAGCCCCCACAATGCATGCGCTCTAGACGCCGGCGTGGGCAAGGGTCTTGCCGAGGCTGACCGTGGAGGAACTCCAGGGCCCGCCACGGGTGGTCGCCGAGGTGGCCTGAGGGAGCCCTTCCTGCAGTGCGGCGTGGTGCTCAGCCTCCCGCTCACCCTCTGCGTGGGGCGCGCACCTGCCCATTGCGGTGGCCGGGCCTGGAGGCTGCCAAGGCGCTGCCTGGCCACGCGGCTTCCCCCGAAGCCCGGAGCTTGCCTACTCCTCCCTACCTTTCAAGCAACCACAGCGCTCTGGGCTGGCGTGGCCCAGACTTCACTGTGGAACTTCGGAGACTTGGGTGGGCGAGGTAAACATGGAAAAACCTGGGCTCAGGAGGTTTGCAGAAAGAGGGGGCCGCTCGTGGGTGGCTGGAAATTCCGTCTACCTCTCTGGAAAAGCAGGCGATTCCGCCCACCACACACACACACACACACACACACACACACACACACACACACACAACTGTGGGAAGGTGTGAAGCCCGCCTCTAGGGAATTGCCTCCACTTTGGTGAAAAGGAAATACAATAGGAACACTCTTCAGATCACCACCCCTGGAGTGTGTGTCCTGGGGGTCTGAAAGAAGAGAAAGTTCCCTTCAAATCTTCCAAATTGAGAAAAGCTGCGGAAAGAATGAGGCGGTTAGAGAGAGGGGACCGCAGGCATCCCGGTAGCTGGGGCTCAGGACTGAGTATTAAAATAAAAGCACCCCTGTGGAAACCACAAGGGAAAACGTTTAAAAAAAGAAAACACCTGAACTCTTAGGTATTGTACTACTTCCACGCTATTTGTCAAATCTACTTTGAAGCAGTTAAATGCTGAAGGATATTGAACACTCGGGTCTGCATTCCAAGTTCACTTTTTAATCTTTGCAACTTTGAAATTGGAAGAAAAGGGAAAAAAAATTAAAAAGATCTGCTATCCCTGAATTATGTTTTAACAAAAGAACGAAAAAATTTATCGGCCTCGGCATAAATAGAATTAGAAGAAATTTCATCTTAAAATACTGTCTCATAGCTTCTGCCTGGCTGCCCAATCACTGGTTCACCTTTTGGCAGTTTTTCGTCTTCTCTTTATATTTGCCCATTTTCCCCCAACGATTGAGATTATTTTAATTGTCTTTTGAGGCAGCACATCCCACCACCATCTTTTGGTGGAATACTTTTAAATCGTACAGCCTGCTGGCTGGAAGATCTGTCCGCCCAAAACGCGGACTTGCCCGGGGCTATGACAAATTCCCTCTGGCGACTCGTCTGCTACGAAGGGCATTTTGCTCAGTGTTGCTCAGGCAGATCTTGTCTGGAAAGAGTATGCTTAAAATGAGTGTGTGTCATTTTCTTTCTGTCACTGGGTCACCCTACTTCCAGAGTACTTGTGCGTTCTACACTTATCCTCACACAGGACCAAAACCTTTAGAAAAACACTTCAAATTTGATTAAGTATCCTGGCGACTGAACAAAGAACTCTATTTTGCGGGTGTGGGGACTGGGAATGAAGATGTACTTGTTTTGAGAAGCTAAAATAGTATTTTCCTAATTTTTTAAAATGATCGTTCTTCATTCTGGATGGATTCTTTATTAATTTGCCAATAGGTTGCAGAAGCCCACCTCTTTAACCAAGTTGGTTAACTGTGTATGAAATGTACAATGGCTGATTAAAGCTTAAATATAGGAAGAAATTTCTCCTGGAACATTCCACATATGTCTTTGCAGTAATTACGAAATTAGTCAATGGTCACCTCTATAAACAAACTTCGTTTTGAAAACAGACGAAAGCAGACTACATATATAGTCGTAATTCATCAAAAATATGTACAAAACTGTATTTTAAATTGGAGGGAGGGTGATATATGCTGGAGAATACAATCTAGAACTAATTGATTTTACCCTACGAAGAAGATGGTTATGTTAAAAGTGTTAAGATATGGGAATTAATCAAGCGAGCAGCACCAAGTAAAACCACAAAATGCCCTTGGGGTTTTTCTGTGGGGTCTTCGGGAGGCAGAAAACCAGTTGTTGTTTATAACACTGTAAGAAAAAGTGGCACCAAGAAGGAAGATGGTGAGCGTTGTGTTCGTGTGTGAATTTTGAACTGAGTCACCTTCGGCTCTGTCTCTGTAGCTGGGAAACCTCGAGCAAACCTGTGCCTTTAAGACTCAGTTGCTATCCAAACACAAGTAAACAGAGTGGACCATTAGCGGGCGCTGGGCGCGGAGGCGGAGCCAGGGCGCAGTGGGCCCAGCACGGCTGCCCGCCCGAAGGGGAGGCGGGGCCGCTACTAAAGCCTTGGACTCCCGGCCGCGAGCAGCCTGGGGAGGGACGCGGGCGGGGACAGAGCTCGGCGCGCTCGCTGCTGGAGGGTGATGGCCCTGCAAGACTGCAGAGTGCGACCTTCCGCGGAGTCGGCGAGAGGCTTGCGGAGGTGCGGAGTTCCGGGCGAGCACTGAGCGCCGGCTCCAAGCACCGCGGGTCTTTACGCATTCCACATTCACAGACTCCGACCAAGGCGAGGATCCGCTCTCGCGGCTTGTGGTGTTCTAGATCATGTCTGCGGCTCCTGAAACTCCGCGCGAAAGAAGAAGTTTGCCGGGCGTGGACCCAATGACCTTTTCAAGTTGTGCGCCTCACTGCCTGGACCGGGTCTGAACGGCGCTGCCCAGGCGGATCTTTCTGCGGGAGGTGAGTGTCCGCTCTGGGAAGGGACTTAAGCCTCCTTGAGAAAGGAAGGGTGAAGGGGATGCAGGGGGCGCTCAATCCGGCGTGCCACAAGTTCAGAAATTGTGAAAAGAAATCATATAGGTACAATCCTGGGGCATTGCGTTTCTCACTTTATCGGATCCCAGGCACACCACTCCCAGCTAACACCCAACGACAACCAATTTTATATACTGTTTTTAGTTTTGATTTGTGACATTTAATGAAAGTATGCAGCAAGGCTTCTTATAAAAGCTGATCGACGTACGCTGAAATAAAACCCCGTTACCGCAGGATGTTTCTGACCCTGTCATAGGATTCCTGGTCCACCGGTCGGTGCATCCCCGGCGGTGCAGCGCGGACGCGCCAGGACACACAGTGCCTGTCTAGCCAAAGCGTTTCAAGAAGGAAGTAATAGTGCAGTCCTAGGTTATTCTCCAACCTTGTGCTGGCCTTTTGATTTTTCTCCCATTCTCCAGTCCTGGAGGAGGGGGCAGAAGGCAAATTCCCCCGGGACGTAAACGCTTGGATTATCGAGAAATAGCAACAGAGGAAGGAGTTGCGGTGGTAGAAAAGAGGGAGAAAAAGGTGTTTGTGGACAGAGCGCTAGATCTGTCCCCCTACCTGTTAGCAGAGAACAAAAGAGGGCTGGCGTTTCCCAGAGCGAAACGCCGCGGACAGCTACTTTCTCTGCTAAACAAACTGCAGTCCTGAGCAGAACAAGAAAATTACTCAAGGGAAGCGAGGGAACAGAGAGAAACAACCTAGATTATGCGGAAGGCATCTTAATTTAATTAACTCCTTGAGAAGGCAGAGGCGCTGCACAGGGGCAGGAACTTCGCGGCGCTGTTCTCTGTTCACCCGATCTAGTCGGGCCATTTTTATTTATTTATTTTTAAATGATCTCCTTAAATCCACTTGGACTATAGCTCTCTGATTTATGTAAAATTCCACTGTGGCTTGAGCTGAAATTCAGCGAGCATATTTATCTATCAGTTATTTCTCTCAGACAACAACACACAGGTTTTAGTAGATGACCCTTGACTACTGTATATTAGTTTTAGATAATTCAGTGTAATAACACTGTTACCAAAAAGCAAGACTCCTGATCAAATTACTGCATACTTTTCTTTTCTCCAACGTTTTGAAAGCTTCATTGAACTTAGTATGTACACATCTCACTTGTTGACAGCCAGTGAACTAAATTTTACAAAACTTAGTACATGCCTGGAAATTCCTGTGAAGAAGGCTGATGAAAGCTAGCCTCAGCTCCACTGAAATACTTATGTCTTTTCATTGGTTTAAGTTTCTTTCCTTGCAAAATTAAAAATAACCAATGGTCCGAGAAATGGTATGATAGAGAAATGACAGCAAACGATGATAGCTGTTATTGCCTGAAACAGTGTGCGAGAACTACATGCTCAACTCCAGATAAAACGAAAGTACTTTAGATCTCTGCATTGACTTAAAATACCTTTTGACATATATTTCCAGCAACTCAGGGGGAGAGTGGAAATTTAAATTCTCTATTTGTGGCAAAAGTGTTTGGTGGATATTTAGGGTTGTTCTGTTTGTAAAAGGGTTTCAGAAGTCACCAGTGGTCTGCTCTTCTGTGAAGAAATGATTTGTCCTGCAAATTAAAATGAACATACTATGAAACAGCACTTTTGTGCCACCATGAAGCTGAATTAACATTAACAGAGCCAATTTTTATGTTATAAACCATTGGGCGAAAAGGGAAAGAAGATGGCACTGAACTTTATGCTGGAAGAATTAACGTTTAACCTTTATGGCAGAGTTCACTTCACGCATTTGGAATTGAAACCACAAGTCCTGGTAGTCTTTCAGTTGACAACCCCCCCCCCCCAACCACACACACACCATACACACATATACTCACGTAGAACATAGTAGGAGTTGTACTTGCCTCCTGTATTTATTTCTGAGAAATCTAGTCTGGGAATACACCCAAATAATAATTTTAGTTTCTCCTCTATAGCAGAGTCTACTTTTTAACACTAGGGGGAAAATAGTATTTTGAATCTGGAAAATCCTCATTATGTAAAAAGAAGGAAATAAAGATATAATTTATGATTTTTAATGGGAGAGGAAATAATGAGGTAGATTACCAGAGATGTTAGTAGAATCCTTTTTTTTTTCACTATCTCTCTAGGACAGGGCTTGAGGGATTCCCATTGAACAAAAACGAATCCTGATTTGTGGTGGGAAAGTTTATTCCGAGTGGGGGTTTACAGTTTCGGTTGAATAGTCTGACTGAGCCCCTCTGACTGTTACACACCTCTCATTAACTCCGGGCCTGAGCTTCCAGACCGCATTACACCAGGCAGAAACGGTTCATTAATAAATCCCTGTCTCTGAGCCTTTCCAAACAGAGAAGGAGGGAGGGAAGGTGTGGGCCTCAGGGAGGCAGCCAGATTTTGCCTTGCCAGAGCGCTGTGTCATCAGTGGGGCCCCCTAAGTCTGCCCTCAGAGCCACTGGCAACACAATACACTAGATAAGAAAATTCAGGCGCAGAAAGGGGTGTGTGGGGAGAAAGGCGGAACAAACTCCCCCATCTTTCTGCGGAGTTCCAAAGCCAGGCACAAAAGATGATGTCTCAGGCGGCCTGTCTGCTCCTCATCAGGGAAAGCGCTCTGCTATTAGTCCCGCACCTGGGGAGCCGCCCTCAGAGGCAAGGCCCAGGCCCGCCGAGCGGCAGAACCCTCTGCTATAAAGGGGCTGACAAGTGGGAGAAGGCAGGCCAACCCTGAATGCAGGTGAGGTGTCCCTGGGAACCTGGGTCTGAAAGTAGACCTGGGTGTTTCCATTGGGGGCGCAGGGGAAAGAGAGGCGCGTGCACTCCGCTTAGGCCGCGGCCTCCGACCCCCGGCCGGGCTTCCCAGTAGCAGGAGCGCCGCGGCACGCACCTCTCGGCGAATAAACAAGCTTCCTCCAGGCCGGCAGGGCCGCCCTGTGCCCTGCCCGCTGTGGTTCCTCTGCTGCTCCTTCCCTTTCCTTCCCATGGGAGCCCTCTTTCCTTTCTTCTCCTGGGGCCTCGCGGGTGTGGGAGCAGCTCCCGGTGCCAGGTCAGGAAGCTGTTTGGGCCTCGGGAGAGCTAGGCACTCAATATGCGATAAGGGGTTCCGGCCTCAGTGCCGTTCTCCGCCCACCCCCAACTATTCCCCGGGAGCCAAACCATCTGGAAGGGATCTTGGTGGGGGGTGGAAGGGGACGGCCCCTGGGAAAGAGGAGGGGGCGATTCCAGGTCGAACCCGGCCCCCGAGGTGTCACTTTTCTTTCCCGCGGGCCGTCACCGCTGATAAATGGGACTGAGGCAGAGGAAGGAAAAAGAAAACCTCCGAGGTCAGCGCGGGGCGAGGCGGGCCCCTTTGAGGGCCCGAGGGCCCAGGAGCTCGAAGTGTGCCCGGGCTGCGCTCCGGTACGCTGGCCGCCGGGGTAAGCGCGGGAAAGGCCGCCGCGGGGCAGAGCAGCGGGCGCGGGGCGCAGCGCGAAGAGCAGCCGCACGGGGGCTGAGCTGGGGCCTCGGACCGCAGCAAGGACCCACAACCCGTCATTCCCCGGGGAGCTCGGAGGCGCCCTGGCGACAGAGGCTCGGCCTGGGCCTGGGGGTACTGGCGTTGCGGGCCGTCGCTGTTGACTGAGTTCTGCCCGACAGCGTGGAGCAGGTGGGTCGGACTAGGTGCTGCTTTTGCTGGAGCGCCCCTGCCCACCTCTCTTTCTCAGGCCCAGGTCTTCCGCTCGGTGCGTGCTGGAATCTGACCTTCCTGAGGGCGCCCAGCTCGCCAGGGTATCTTTTCCTGTCTCTCGCCTGACAGCCTGGCCCTGGGGCTGAGCTAGGTGTGGACTCGCTGGGCTGCCGCTGCGTTTCCCTCTCCACTCATTTGGGGGCCTGGAGTAGAGTGGGGAGGAGGACTTAGAAGGAAGGTGTGGTAACCCGCGCCAGCGCCAAAAGTCAGACTGATCTGGCTTGGATAATAGTCACAACTCTCTCCCTCTGTCATTTTTAGGGTTTCTCTGCGTGCTGTTGTCTCTCTGGGTTTTCGCCGGAGCCCCACACCCACTCGCCTCTGAGATCTGGAAGAAAGGGGCGGCTCTTTCCGCCCCACAGCACACCGGAGAATGGGGAGCAAGGCCCTACCGGCGCCCATCCCGCTCCACCCGTCGCTGCAGCTCACCAATTACTCCTTCCTGCAGGCGGTGAACACCTTCCCCGCCGCAGTGGACCACCTGCAGGGCCTGTACGGTCTCAGCGCCGTGCAGACCATGCACATGAACCACTGGACGCTGGGGTACCCCAACGTGCACGAGATCACCCGCTCCACCATCACCGAGATGGCGGCGGCGCAGGGCCTCGTGGACGCGCGCTTCCCCTTTCCGGCTCTGCCCTTTACAACCCACCTCTTCCACCCCAAGCAGGGAGCCATTGCCCACGTTCTCCCAGCCCTGCACAAGGACCGGCCCCGTTTTGACTTTGCCAACTTGGCTGTGGCCGCCACACAAGAGGACCCCCCTAAAATGGGAGAGCTGACCAAGCTGAGCCCGGGGCTGGGTAGCCCCATCTCGGGCCTCAGTAAATTGACTCCGGACAGAAAGCCCTCCCGAGGGAGGCTGCCTTCAAAAACAAAAAAAGAGTTTATCTGCAAATTTTGCGGCAGACACTTTACCAAATCCTACAACTTGCTCATACACGAGAGGACCCACACGGATGAGAGGCCGTACACGTGTGACATCTGCCACAAGGCCTTCCGGAGGCAAGATCATCTGCGGGATCACAGGTGAGGTGGGGAAGGAGGTTGGCCGGGGAAGGGAAGGCGAGTTTGTCCAGAATACCCAAGCCTCATCGACATTCTAAGTGTCGTTAAAATACCCTCGAAACTAGACTACATCCCCAAAGGCCCGCCCTCGCCAGCCACAGCTCTCCCCAACATTTACCTTTTCCCTTCACGGGGCTCTGGCTGCGTTCTCGTTTGGCATTCGGAAGGAGCTTTCCTCATCCTTCGGCAGTTAAATTTGGTGGGTTGGTCTTGGTGCTGGGTTTGGTTTCCTCCCGGTCACCCACGGGGTAAGGCAGGTAAAGCCAAGGGACCCCGAAGACTTTCCCATGGTGGCTGCCGTCAGACCACTTCTGGAAATCTACTCGGGCTGCCTCCACTGGGCTGCTTCCCTTCTCTACCTCCCGCCACCTCCCAGCCTCGGTTGCACAGAGCCTCACACAGCAATCTTCCTTTTAAATTTGTTTAAACTCGATCACTGAATTTAGACACAGCTCCCCATCTACCCCCACCTTCAACTCGGTATTAATAAATGTCAGTTGAAGAAATACTATAACGTAACTGTTTTCATCCGGTAAAAACTTCCCAGGAGTGGGAGTGGGGCATCTCTCTCCAGACTCTACTTGCTGTTCCCCAAGGTGGGACTTCCCTGTACGCATCCTCTGCGGCCGTTAAGGGATTCGCTGAAATCAGTCCCCCTTCACTCGGCCTTGCCTTACATTCGGATTTGGCCAGTTTAAATCCCATGGAAATGGTGGAGGCCAGGAAGGACTCATTCGGCAAGATTTCGAGCTCCAAAATATGCCAGAGAGGGCGATCAAGTGTAGATAAAGCCGGCGTCCAGTGAATGTTTTGAGGAATCTGTTAGTCGAGGTTAACCATAAACAGAATTACAAGGGGGGTGGAGGGTGGGGGGGATACAATCTGAAAACATAAATAATAGGAATCCTGTTTCTTTTGCCCTTTCACGACTTCGATTTCAGTAATTGTCAAAAGAAACTCATCACCGTGGTGGTAAAGCCATTTAAATGAAAACTTATATTGATTTTCAGGTATATTCATTCCAAAGAAAAACCCTTCAAATGTCAGGAGTGTGGGAAAGGATTTTGTCAATCTAGAACTCTAGCGGTTCACAAAACTTTACACATGCAGGTAAGTTTTTCTTGTTTAAAAACAGTAACTAGTTCTGTTTTATGGTGTTTGCTCTACAAAGGGTGTTCAATGGCAGAGTTTTTCTCTTAAGAGACTATTCCGATTAATTTTCTAGGTGTGGAAAGCCGCACTCAATTTTTGTCATACATAAAATTAATCTCATTTAACATAAAACATTTTTATATTTTTCTTAAAGAGCAAGCCACTCTATTCTAAATCCTAATTTTAGAATTTTTTTTTTTTCATCTGCCCTGCATTTAAAGCTTTCGTGTTTGGGAGGAAATAAAGGTAATTTTGATAATGGAGGCATGGTGAAATCCCATATGCTCTCTCTCCCAGGGGCCTCATAATTTGTAGTTTTCAGAACATTGAGGAATAGTTTAATTTTCCAGCAAAGAGGAGCCTTATTGCCCGGGAGAATGTCGTTCCTTAAGAGAGGATTAGACTTTTTCCTTCCCCCCTTTTCCTGCCTATGACATGGTGATGAAATGTAAAGAGCTGGAAATCACAAAGCCCACCGCGGTGGCCACTGGCAGTTATCAGTGTAATCGGGCCTGTGTGTGTGCCTGAGCGTGTGTTTTCGTGATTGGAGGATTAGGAGCACAGATTTGTTCCTGCAAGTCCCCTCTTTTGTTGTCGTGCGCATGTTACGTTAACGCTTGTGATACCGATAAGACAGAAACTGTTGAGAAGGGTGCGGTGGTGGTGTGAAGGATTAATCCTTTGCTTGCTTCACATCTGAACAGGAATCTCCACACAAATGTCCCACATGTGGAAGAACCTTTAATCAGAGAAGTAATCTGAAAACTCACCTTCTCACCCATACAGACATCAAGCCCTACAGCTGCGAGCAGTGCGGCAAAGTGTTCAGGCGAAACTGTGATCTGCGGCGGCACAGCCTGACTCACACCCCGCGGCAGGACTTCTAGAGAAGCCCAGGATCTGTCCCGTGCCGCCGCTGCTCCCCTCCCCAGACACCTCTCCACGCCTCCCACCCCGGGGTCCCACCCCCAACCCTTCACTGACCCCAGCTCTTCCCTTGCTGCAGCGCACCTGCAGCTCCAGGGAGTTTACTTCTGAGGACTGAGGACTGTAGTGGGCCACACACGTACATCCCTTCACAAAGAGCATATGCTAGTTTCCTGTAGATATTCACAGCTCATTTTAGAGCTCTGTACATAATGTCGTGGGTCTTTGTTTTATTGTTTTGTTTTTGTTTGTTTTTGTATCTTGTTGGATGCACCTAAGTATGGAAAATGGAAGCCAAATTTATCTTTAAAGACTGTATTTTCAAAATAAAAGTTTTTCTTGTCTGTTTCAACACTCCTGCAAAAGAGTCTTCCTATTTAAGTTCTGTTTTCCCTCTGGATTCTGGAAAAGTGGGCTACCTCTAAAATAATCAATATTGAAAGGTATTCTTTATCCCTGGGTTTTAAAATAAGATTCACAATTCTCTTACTGAAACTTCAGCTCTTCCTTTTTTGTACTGTGGCATTTTGGAATTGGATAACTGTGCTGTCTTTTGTTTTTTGAAGATATTAAAATTGATACCCAGAGGTTTTATCCCCTCTTGTTTATTCTGATTCCTATGTATTATTCATTCAGATAAAAGCAATATAATAATCATTATTAAAACCTTCAACTCCAGTTGCTGACCTACTTGAAAGCACAGGGTGGGAAGAACCATAAGGAAAAAGAAGAGAAAGGAGCTTCTCACCATTTCATTTTTTAAAAGGCCTTGACCTATTGTCAGAGTTTATAATGGGCAACTTCTCTTGCCATTAGACTTTGAACACTATGATTTAGCACTATAGACAGAGCATTTCCCCCGCCTTCAGGGGAGAGGTCTAAGATCCTCCTACAGAAGAGTGCAGGCAAGTACAGCCTTCAGAGGTTGGAGGACAAGAAGAGGAGAAAGGAGAAACTACTTAGCTATGTTTGCACTAAATATTTCTTTCCAAGGGTGGAGATCCTGTCTTCTAGAAGGTTTGGATTTCTCTGCAAAGCAAACTGAGTTAGGTCACTAACAAGGTTTCTATCACTGGTTGGCTTTTTGTCCCTGGGAAAATTCCAGAAGTACAAATTACTCCCATGTATAGAGCTCATGGCAAATATGTAATCACCTTATGAGGCATTTCAACCTTTCCCAAATGGTTCCTGGGGAACATGACACTAGTATAATGACAACCTTGTCTAGGATTTTGGGTGGAGGGCTGTGGATGCAGATAAACAGTAGTACTATGCAGAGACTGGAAGGAAGATAACTAAAGTTAGGGAGGGAACATCAGAGGAATCTGTGGCCCAATGGCCCAGTTGTTTCTCACAAACTTTAATACTGAACAACAGGGTAAATTAGGTATTTTCAAATCCTCCAGAAGGATAGGTAGGGATTTGAGGACTAGATTCAAAAGTTCTCACCAGTGCTTTGTTCAATATGAGGAGGTTTCAAAAAGTGTCCCGGACTCTGTTCTCAGGGGAGCTGGCTGGAAGTTACTTCTTCTCATGAGAGATCACTTCTCTTCCACAAAGTGTCTGCTCACCATCTTAATACACAAATGCATCTCTCAACATGGAATGGGCCTAAAGGCTTCACTGGGAAGAGGGGGCAGGGATAGAGTGTGGGGTGCATGTGTGTGTGTGGTATTTAGAGGGATGAAACTGTTGTTTATTTTCTTCTGTTTGCATAGAATTAACTCAGTGACCTCCCTATCCCTACTCTTTTAAGATCCTGCCCACCTTGGCACAGAAGATTTGAATACTTTAGGGCAGGGTTACACATTGACCGTCCCTAGAGCTCCCCTAATCCTGCAGGCTTTTTCCATGCAGTCAGACTCACTGCCACACCCACTCCAACTGACTACAAACTTCAACAGTTCCATTGCACAGGGTTCAGTCAAATTATCAAAGAATGACCCTTGCTCACTTATCAAGCTCCTTGAAGTCTCTGTCACAGGGATATATAGACAGGTATAACCAGAATACTATTCCTCTTCATTTATTTTAGTTGAAAAAATGGGAATCAGAAGCAAACAAGGGAAAACAGAAGTGAAGCAGAAGTTCCCCTTCCCATATACACACTATTTCAAAAGTTAAGGTTAATTTATTTATAATTTATTTATGTAGTCATTAGTTTAACAAATGCTTATTATGTGCTTTTTATTTGCCAAGCCTGTGCTAGACTCTGCTGATTTTCACGATCAGTTTCTACCTTTTATACCTAGTGGCATACTTCTGCCACTACTACTTAGATTATTTAAAAACCAATAATAGGGCTTGATTTTACAGCTAGCCTCAATTTGCACTCTTAAATCCAGGATCCATCTAGATCCGGAAGGTATCTAGTCTCAGAGTAGACTCTTTCCACAATCTTCACGATCTCAGGTGAACTTTCAAACAGTGGGTTCCTCTCCAAATTCTGAGTCTTGTTTTCTTTTTCTTTAGAATGTCCAAGTATGCCGGAAATGAATCTTATGTGAGACAAACTTATGAGACATCATAGGGAAAACAATATCTTGTATCTTATGAAATCCATTTGCTCTGTGTGTGTGTGTGTGTGTGTGTGTGTGTGTGTGTGTGTGTGTTTTGGTTTAGAAAAGAGTCATTATTTGAGTTTTAGATTAGCCTGTGTTTTCCTTACAACCTCTACCATAGTCAACTCATGAATCAATACTCCTGGCCAGAGACCAGGAGTGGGAAATATCACGAGTCACAACCACAGTGCTGAAGAATTTCATGAGCAATAGTTAAATATTGAGCTATGACTTTAATCTCATTTTGTAATTTATGTGTGGGGTTTTAAAAATAATTTCTAAATATGAATTACATTGTACTCAATTGTCAATTTAAATAATGAATGTGTGTTAAGTCCACCTATTATTGCTAATATTAACATCTAGGTCATCGTAGTACCAGTGTTTTATAATCGTAGTAATTAAAATTGCAATTTTGCCTCGTTTACATGAGCAGGCCTTTCTAAAATTTCACTGTAGGACAACTAAATAATAAACAAATCTAAAATCTCAAATTATAAATAGGTCTAACTACAACCAGTGATGAAATCAGAGGGAGTTACCAGGAGTTTTTTCTACTATTCTTTTGTCAGTAAACATTTGGACCTCTTCACCTTAATCAGGTTTGACCAGGTATCCTTGCCCCAGTTTTGATTTTGGAGGGGCAGCCTACTCCTGGAAGGCACTTGGAAGACATTAGTTCTTGAATATTGTCAACATGATAGATGATATGCATTTGGATTAAACACAGTGTAAACACTACAGCAGATTTTAATATGAGAAGAGTACTACCATGGCATAATGGGTTGCCTTTCTTATTACCAAAGTAATTTTAATATCATTATAATAAAGAAATAGAAAAAGTTGATGAAACCATGTAACACATCGCAAACAGGAATGGCTTTATATATGGGGGGATTATTTGCGTTCACCTTTATTCGTGTGTTATATTGAGATTCTATTTCCCAATTGTTTCTTCTGAAATGTAACTTGCTACTGATAATCTCCTCTGCTGACAGCAATGAGCAATAAAAAGAGGGGAGGTTCAGAATGATTCAGCTTTGATGACCTGAGATGTTTCATGTTCATTCCTGTTTCTTTTCTTTATTGCTTATTATTCCCCACCCCCCACGCCCAACGCAAATTACATTATCTAAGCTATGTAACTTTTTTATTGAAACTATTCAAAGCAAAAACTGATAGCAAAAAAAAACTGTAAGCAACACAAATATATCACAGTAGGAAAAATTTTAAGTAAATTATAATGTTCTATTTGGATGCTGTCTGCCCCAAGAAACAGAAAACCTGACTAAAAGGCACTTTAAAACCATAGGGAATTTATTTTCTCACAAAAAGAAATCTCAAGGTGGGGCCCAGGGATGCATAATTAATTGGAGTGACAAGATCATCTGAAGCCCAGTTCTTCTTACTTTTCTATTCTTCCATCTTCAATGTCTCGACTTGCTCCCTTTATGACCACAAAAACTCCCACCATCAGCTCTAGTGCTTCCTTCTGACACACACTCCATAGTCAGGAAAAGGAACTATCTCTTTTTTGTGTCACTTTTTAAGAATTAAGAATCTCCTCCATAAATCTAACCTGTAGATTTGCCCTCATATATTATTGGTCAGAATTAGTTCTCTTGCTCCTTACTCAGCCAATCACTGAAGAGTGAAATAAAATTATACCATGATTGACTTAGTCTAAATAAAATGCACCTTCTGTGAATGGAAATGGAGCCAGCCTTCCCTGGAGCCCTCGACTGCCTGAAAACACCTGAGTTCTGTTGTCAAGGAAGAAAGGAGACTTGATCATTGTGAATATTAAGCAAATGTTAAAAATGAAGTTTCCATTAATAACCTTATGTTAGGAGATGCTTATGTTATAAAAGCAGGATATTTAGTGGCATATACAGTATAAACTGTATAAACAAACAAAACCTTGAAAAAACTAAGCACATACAAAGACTAAAAGAAAATAAACCAAAATGTTAATAGAAAGTATTCATGAGTAACAAACTAAGGGTACATTTTTCTCCTCCTTTTCTTATCTTTTAACTTTTCCACAATGAGCATGCATTACTTTTATAAAGGAAAAAAGTAATAAACATTATTTTAAAAATCCAAGATAAAGTCTTAATTTCCTCAATATATTTGTTTTTTCACCTTGCTTTATTGCCTCTGATCAGTCTTTCTCCTTTCATGGATACCCACATATACTTCTTCTAAACTATGTTTTTAATTTAGTTACATCTTCTAGTTTCTTTTTCTTTCTTCCCTGATTTCTGTTCAAATCTCCTTTTCCTATCTTTCTCTTTTCCAGGTTTCTGTATCCTGATTATTTTCTTCCTTTTAAGAGCTTCAATACATCTAGCTCAGTGTTCCTCCAGGTATGATCATTAGAATTATCCAGAGTATTAATTTCTGGGCCCTGCCTAATCCAGTGGGTGAATTGGAATTTCTGGTGATAAAGACTCAGGACTCAGTATTTTAAACAAACACTTCAGGTAGTTCTTATGTGTATTAGAGACTGAGAACTTCTGCACTAGCCTTTGACACCATCATTCCCTTTATCTTATCCATCAGCCATTTACTATGTGCTTACCGTAATAAACATAAAACAAATCTCAACCCACTTTTCTTTACTTATTTACCAACCGTCCTTGAAGTTGTCAAATTTTCCTCTGCTTTTGTTCTCACTGCTCTTCCCTGGTCTCACCATCTACTTTTTTTTTTTTTTTCTATTGTTGCTGTTCCTAAATTTCATTTTTCCTTTTTCACATTAATAAACATCTTTGGGTTTGATATTTTATT